ACACACACACACACACACACACACACACACACACATATATATATATATATATATGTATTATATATATATTATATTATATATATACATAAATATATATATATATATATATATATATATATGTATATATATATATATGTATAGGCACATATATAGTCGTAGGAATACATAATATATTTACCATTATAATGACATATAAACTGGCGCGAATATTAATGTGTATCGATCTAAATATATGGAATGTATCACCTTTTGGATAAATACAAAATTATCAAATTATCTTATGTAGAAGCATACTTATAGACATTTTGATCGCAACAATGTTTTTGTTCTGTTGTCGATGAAATCTATCTCGTAACCACTACCACAGCAAGGTCAAGGGAGTACAAGATCTCAATACCAATGAGCTTAAAAGTCGGGTCGCCGGAACATCGGCATCATGGCACGAACAGTATCGCCACAGTGCTTACATCTACGTCGGCGGCCTGGATTACAACCTGACCGAAGGAGATATCATCTGCATCTTCTCACAGTAAGTGGTTTGTGAATGTAAACTTTCTGTATAGGTGTTTAAGACAACGTCTCTGATTATCGTCCATTTCGAAGATGTTACTTGATATGCACTATCTTTATTATGATCTATTACCATTGCCATGAATAGGCTTAATTGCCTTGTTGCATTCTAAACTGGATGTCATTTATTGTGCTTACAATAGATTTGGGGAGATTATGGATCTTAACATGGTTCGAGACAAAGCAACGGGAAAAGCCAAAGGTTTCTGTTTTATAGCCTATGAAGATCAGCGTTCGACGGATTTAGCCGTCGATAATTTCAATGGAGCTAAGGTAACCACATCAAAAAGTTTGCACGTCCCGATGAAACCAACTTATCATTTTCATTAATTCCGTGTTGTACATCAATATTGAACTACATTTTTGCAATATGATGGTGCATCTGTGATTTTCGCTCCTATGTCCAGGGCCGCGATTTGTTTTTAAAATAAAGACAAGCTGCCCCCACTCTGCTCATATCCGTCTATGCTGGCATTTTGTATCGCCACCCAGGTGTGTGGCAAAACACTCTCTGTTGATCACGTGGGGAAGTACCGTGGTCCCAAACCTCCCGGTTCTGATGAAGATGAGCCTGAAGGTATAGTGCTCGTTTCGTTTCCATTCAAAATTGCTATACATGGTTTTTTTATGCCATAGAAGATTTATCGCATTTAAGTGATCTACTCAACTAATCTTGAAACCAAATCGATATGATAATTACATTGCAGAGAAAATATCTGTGGCCCCCGCTGATTTCGTGAAGTTGGAGAAGGAGAAGAAGAAAGCGAAAAAGGCCGAGAAGGCAGCAATGAAGGTATCGTAGTTGATATTGAGAATGAATCTAAACTACATACAATCTAGTTTGGGACGAAAAAGGTCAAAAGCAGTTGCTCACATTTCTGCGTTGCTTTTATCGTTGACTTCGACGCATTGGTTCACTTTCTCTGTATTGAACCACTCACAGGAGGGGAAGGCGATACAAAAAAAGGCCAAAACACTTGCAAAGGAAGCCAGAAGAGCAGAGAAGGCGATAAAGACAGCTTCACGGAACTCAGGTAAACTATTACATCACGACATGGTTTCTACAACACTTGCAGTCTAGCAGCCCGCTAAATCAGGCTAGACTATTCACTGCGCGACGTGATTTTTCCACAACTATTATTATGTTTAGCAAAGTTCAATTGCCATCTTTTTGATATTTAATCAGGTAAAGAGGGGGAATTGTCCGAGAAGCTAGGTGTTTCTGAGGAGGAGCGGCAAACTATCATGGCACGTCGAGCGAAATTGTTAGAGCAAGCCACTCACATCTCTGACAGCGGCAGTGGAAGCGAGAAAGACCCAATGGAGATGATGAGGAAAGTTGCGAAGAATGACGGCGCTTATACTGATCGAACTGAGCGTTCAGACGTAAATACTAAAAGGATTGAAAATACAGTAGCAGATAATAGACACGAGAGTAAGCGAAGAAGTAGAAGTCGAGATGGTAACGCACGGCATACAGCAGATATGCAGCACGGCAAGAATCGATCTGGAGCAAAACTCGAAGGTGAAGCTAGGAATGGCGAGGTAACAGATCGTACGACGGATGAAGTACGAGATCGGAATAGGATTGATAACTCTGACAGAGAAGGTCGAAGGTCTAGGGAACGAGACAGAAGGAGGGAGGGTGAAAGATCGAGTGGTGCACGTAGGTACAGATCACGAGATAGGAGTAGAAGCAGAAGCAGAGAGCGCGATGGAAGCAGAAAGAACAACAGTCGGAGTGCAGACCGATATGGAAATAGAGACACTGGACGTGATAGACAGAGAAGCAGAGATTTAGACGAGAGGCGGGATAGCTCTAGAAATCGAAGACGCGTGAGAAGCAGAAGCGCAGATAGGAGGGGTCGAGGCTATTGATGAACCAAATTATCGAGCTGCCACAGTTTTATTCAATTGCGGATACAATTGAAGTGCAAAGTATGTCAACGACTTCGCTCGTTGCTATCAACGTGACTTGACATCGTACTCCCCATCACGCTAGTCTACAAACATGGAGCGTATGGCACTTGCCCTTATAATTTTGTTGTCTCGGGTCATTTAAAAACATTCGCGGCAGTACTTTTACAGGGTTGACACCCACATGTGGCCAACTCCTCGATTACTCTAGTAAAGCTTTCGAGTTGCTGGTAAGTTGTTATCAATTCACCGACTTACGGAATGATTACGGCAGCGAATCACTGATCTTTTTGAATACAAATTAAAACTCTCGATGTGCCGGGATGAGGTGAACTACTGCAAATACTGACAGATTCTGCTCACCGCCTGCCCCACTTGCCTAGTGATATCCATACTTGTGTTTCGCAGATAAAATATCAGCAGCTACCTCCGTATAACTTGCCACCTGCACTTTTAAATCTGTTACCTCGGATCCTTAAAAGGCATCGCGGCAGAAATTCCTACAGGTTTAACACCCTCACGCGGCTTAGCTCCTCGGTTATTCCATCGATTTCCTTGTTAGTTGTCATCAATTCACGGACTTGACGGATGAGTATGACAGCGTTGCACTGATCCTTTTGAATTTGAATTAAACTCGCGATACGCTGGGATGAGGCGCTTTACTGCAAATACTAAGATTGATTCTTCGCAACGCTTGCCTAACTTGGTACCAAGTGATATTCTTACTTGTTTTTCACAGATATTGTTTCATTTGTTACCTCAGTATAGCTTTTCATCATAGGTACTTGAGAAATCTAATGCCAATCTGTCCTGATAATGCGAGTTTATATTCTGGATGTCACATACTCACAAGCGCAACCCGAGAGAAACACGAAGGACAACTGAAATTCAGATTCGTATCGACAAACCAATTCAGTGAGTATATTCGCTTCTCTAAAATATGGACGAGGCTGTTGAAGAAAAGACATACCCGCATCAAGGTAAACCAATTTAATTTGTTAATTTGCTTCACTGAAATGTGGTAGAGTCTGCTGTATAACCTATGATATACAGGTAACTTCGGCTTTACTCGCATCTGGCAGTTAAAGTCTCTTTCTGCGCAGCAGGATGATCCTCACTCTCTGGATGCAAAACCTATGACGTTTAGGTAACTTCGGCTTTGCTCGTATGTGGCAGCTAAAGTCCCGGCCTGTGCGGTAGGACAAAATTTGCTACGAAAAAACATAATCTATAGCGTACAGGCAACTTTGGCTTTGCTCGCACCCGGCAACTGAAGTCCTGGTTTGCGCCGTGCAGGACTTCAATCTGCGCCGTGGAACGATCCTCACTGTCACTTGAGCGCTCGTCAATTCTTTCCGCCGATTGCGCCTCTTGATCCTAAACTTGGAAGTTCAAACACGTGATCTCGCTACTGTGTTACATTTTAAAACATAACTTTGTTGATTGATCTTATGCAGACTGATGAGGTTTATGCGAACTAGTACATGAGAGCCTCAACACGGAATAAATCGAAGTCCACAATTGAGACAGTCAAAACTGTCTGAGACAATTCTCGTAATAGATGAGTTTTTTTCTCGGTCATCTCTCACTTGCCTTTAACGAATGCTCAGCCTAGCGCCTCGGAACGCAGACATGTTGAACCTATATCAGCCAAACAAACTGAAATAGCAGCCAAGACATCTGAACAGATGCTATTCTATTTTTGAACAGACATCTCTATCCTTGGGTTATTCCAGCAGAAATTAGACAGGGTACCTGCGCTGCCACCACGAATCGATGCCGTCTCTACAGCTATATCTTTCTACCCTCTCTACAGCTATATCTTTCTACCCTCTCTACAGCTATATCTTTCTACCCTCTCCACAGAGTGTGTTATTCCTCATGGAGCTGATGGAAGAAAAAAAAGGTATTGTTAGTGTTTTATGTTTTTTTTTGCACAGGGGTTTGTGTAATTTGCGACCGAGTAGTGTTCTTGTATCGAGTCAATTGAGCTAGCAACTATATATAGTATAAAAAAATAAATAAATTTTCGATGTTTCTGTGACCAATCTCAACCAATATAACATACACAGGTCATTGCAGATGCTGTAATAAAAAATAAAATAAAGTACCGTTACTAACGTCTTCCGTGCCTTCCCGATGTCCCTCCGCCCGAGCCTGAATGTAGCGCGTTGTAGAGAAGAAGGGAGACATGGAGGATTAAATACGCAATTCCCAAGACATAGACTTCAAGACCAAATGATATTCTTACAACACACTGACCAAGAAATTCAACCGTTTAACAGCTTTCGATATCAATGAAGACAGACACACTGGATTCATAATCCTCATACGCTTTGAGCATACTCTCTAACCACACATACCTGTGCCTCCTGGATGCTCAAACGACGACGACGTTTTAAAGTAGACACTTTCGGATGCTTAATGGATTCTGCGAGAGCCGCCAATGATATCTGTGATATTTCGAAAGCAAAGATACGCAGAACTTCGATACTATACTGACAGTTCGTTCCAATCTCTCGCTTGAAATACGGATGCAGATAACATCCGGCACGCAGGAAAAATAGTTCAGTAACATATTAGTATCTTAGATTTCTAACAAAAAAAACAAACGAGTATTCCCGGCACATACCACTCCTACCAGCCTTCCCATCCGAGTGATGTACACATGCTTTAGTGCCATAAGCGCGAACATTTGGTGAACCTACAGACAGAATGGCGCAATATGTGAGCATAAAGGTGGTGGATTTTCAGTCATGAGGTGAACGAGGTAGTTCCTTCCGGCTTCTTCGTATCTAGAGGGTCATCTTTTTCAATAGTTTTCAGTGTAAGTTGCGCAATTCAAAGACTTTCACGAAAGGTTTCGACTAAAATGCGGGTTATTGAGAGAAAATCAACAGCCTCCTAAATACAAATTACCGATGTCGTACCTTAACCACCGGTGATTCAGCTACCATCTGCACTGGAGCAGTTTCAATTTTGACTCTCCACCACGGGACTACTTCATCATCTCCCATGTTAGCATTTGCAGCATCTTTCGCTGCAGAGCTTTCTTCATCCAGCGGTATATAGCCACGTCCACCTGATGTCGACATCAGAGTATCTGACCCAAGGTATTATAAATACTAGTATAAGTAGAGATACAAACTGACTAATCTTTGTACGCTCGTACTGCTCTCCGGACCAAGACACAGAGTAAAAGTATTTTCAGAAACGAAATACAATGCGTGAAGGTACGATGCGGCCACACATGCCTTCTTGACACATACTCGGAACTGTCTGTACTCCGTCTCCCACCAGAACTTCCAAAGCAGACCTGCTGATACTTCCAACAAGTATCATAGTTTCTTTACTGGCTACCACAGGCACAGACTCGAGTACACATTCAACTAGTATCAATCGAACCTGTCGATATGTAGCCTGCGGATGTATGAAGTAATTTACTTGCTGCATAACATCTTGCGCCGTGAGCTTGTACTGCTTGGATGTGAGCAGATCAGGAAGGTATGGCAGGTTCTTGATCTGAATGATACTTTCATAAAAGGAAGGCACTGACAGCTGCGCTATCAAATTGGCAACGAGGACGGCAATCATAACAGGCAGAATGTGATCTATCTGTCCCGTGAGCTCAAATACTATGACAGATGTCGATACGGTGTGAGTTACCGCCCCACTGAGCGCCGCGGCCCCGACGATTGCGTAACCTCCTGGAATTATAATACTGGAAAGGAAGTTCGAGCAAAGGGTGAACATTGCTTTTCGAGCACAGGCGACCGCATAATTTTTTTTTTTGGGAAAAACGTCATGGTTGATAGAATCAATTTTATCTGAACGCATCTTGCCCGCTGACGTACAACGTACACGTCGCTCGAAGTGTTTGCAAATTTAACAGAGATGATATGAATTCTAATGCTACGAACCTGCTTGGATCAGTTACGTCGATTCCATTGGGAAACCAGTCCAGCATCAGCTCACCTACGAGGCGTCCAAAAGTAGCTCCCATGAGGAAGACGGGCACAAAGACTCCCGCAGGAATTGCGAGGCCGACGGCGAACACTGTCATGATGAAGTTTAGCGAGAAGAACACACAAAGCGCTACCAAGACGTTCGGATGGTCCCCTGTGCGATTGAAGTGAATAAATGAGAGTACAAAGATATTAAAATGTGCAGAAAATCTGGCCATGCAAACAGTCTCGAGATTAATGTACAACCTTGCATGCGGTAAAATGTTAGCTGTGAATCTGAAAACAATCTCGTTAAACTAGATCGTCGATGATGATTTGAACAGAAAGGGGGACAAGCACATTAATAGTCTACCGTGAGCTAAAACGGATACATATAGAGTACGAAGATATTGATACACAACAAAGTCTGACCGAAGCAACACAATGGTGGGTATTGTGGAAAATCGCATGCAAAATAGATATTGGTAGTACAATTGACCGTAGTTTCTCCTCAATATAAAGTATTGGTAGTAATTCTGGCGGAAAATGAAATAAAGTACATACATTGATCCTGGTGATCAAGAGGATCTGAGGAGAAGAGGTGGTCGATAGCGACCTTCGGCGGAAACCCCATATACCGACCAATCAAGCCTGGGTATTGCAAGGTAGCTACGATGCAGCATATTATCATCGGATAGAGTACCACTGACTCCTGTAGGAATGGAAATCTACACGAAACGTATATCAACTCTAAGTTAGTAATATATAGTTTCCACCGTCGAGCACATTCTCGTAACATGCAGAATTTGATCTGCCACAACCGAGGGTGCGGCATATATCTAGACACATGTTGACGTATTTAAATGGTTACCTATCGTAAGAATGTGGCTTAGTTTGGTTTGCATCTATGGGAGAACAAATCCGTGTATATGATGGTTTAAAATACGTGTTGGTCCAATATGGAGAACACATGCACGTTATCAACACGTATCTGTAAACATGCATCTGTGCAAGACTAGACTTGTAGATGTGTACACGTACATTCTAATTTCATGTTTATAGGAAGATTGAACGTACGTATAAAAAAGAAAGATACCCAAATCTGCAGTTGAGTATTTGTGACCTTTACGTATATGGTGTAGATCAAAGTGTAAACCCAGACATATAAATAAATGGGCAAGCACGTATATAAATAGTTGGTTATACCAACTCGACGGTGTTCTGTAAATAGATAGAAAAAGTTGAGGAAACGGATTTTGGCGGACCGGATCGAAGAAGGCGGACCAACGCAAATAGAGTTCCACGTCACCACGCGCCATGATCATTTGTAAAAGAGGCTATAGACAAGTGAACAACTTACTTGATATGCAACCACGCCCTGAAGCGAATGACAACGCCGTGTAGCCAGATGAACAGAATCCCCAAGAAACCACACACAACCCCGACAAAGACGAACGCTATCATCTCCGAAACATCAAACGGGAATCTATCAAATCCGGTGGTGAACATGGCCGTGATCGTGTACTCGGTAGTGAAGAACACAGCCAGCAGACGAAATAGGAACGCTCCACACACCGCTGAGAAGAAGGCTCTCCAGTAATTACTCACAGCGAAGTAAGTTGCTGTAACTTCGATACTAAACATTACACCCCCAATGGGCGCCGCAAAATTACAGCTCACACCTACTGCACATGCTGCAGAGAAGATTGCCAGCCTGTGATGTTGGTTGAGATAAATACTTTTGAAGCATGGGAGCTGCATGAGACCATTGCTCACCATGCAGGCCACGTGGACAAAGGGTCCTTCCTTTCCTATCGGTATACCACTACCCACGGACAAGGTGAGGCCCACGATGGTTGCGATGAATGTTCTCATATTGAGAAACCCTGGCATCTTCGAAATGAAATAGAAAGCACAGGTTTAGCTTTGAAATCTCAAAAGTACGAATGCATGATGTTATGCCACACTTAGCGCGCAAGCAAATCCGCTTTACACACTTTCAACGTAATTTTGCACGTAATAAAACCCACCATAAGCCTAATAAGAATCAATCAAGAAATTGAGATTAAAAACCCGACCAAAGTACTTGGGGGATGCTTATAGAAATCGTATGTGGCGTTTGGAGTGTAGACTTCAATGCCGGGCTCACCTCGAATCCACGCATAATTGTTTTCATTTCTGGTATCCCCGATCCGATGGCTTGCGTGGAGAGCACACGAGTTACCAGTACAGCCACCAGGAGCAGACCTTGCATGTATAAAACCCACACGACATACTTCGACACGGCCGAAGGGGCAAAATTACTTTCAAAGATAACAGTCCGTTGTACCAATAAGAAGTCGGCTATCATATCCATGCAGAAGCTTATAGCGGCAGTCAAGGTGCCTAGCAGTAACAGCAAGATCCAGTCGCTACGAAATACCTTACCACATCCACGCCAAGTCTCCCTGATACCTGGCGAGTGGTGTGTACAAACAATACACGAAGGAGCGTCTACAGGTGAGTAGACATCACAAAAAGACAGGATACATTCAAGCAAAGTAATAAACATTCAACAGTCTTCTCATACTTGTCATTAGTTAAGCGGGCCAGATGATTTTGCAATTTAAGTTACGCAAAAATGTAAATACCAATCAATACAGACTTAATTGCGTGGGATTATGTGAATTACGAAGATAGTAAATCATTTACATTATGTACGAATATATGCGTACCCACGAAAATATATAGAGGAAATTGCAAAATAAAAGTAGAGAACATGCTATCGGGCACTACAAAGGAAATATCCCAGATGCTATACATTCACACACATACTTTCAACCCTTCCGAGCCGAAAACTATAAAATGAACTCAAACAAACAACTGAACATGACTGAATAGTGAATCCTATGTAGATCTCTAGATTTGAACATCATTATGAAATGATGTACATTCTTCACACAAACAAACAAGTAAGGCAACAAGAACTCATAGAATTCTATGTTCTAAACGAATGCTGTGCGTATCACCTATACATTATAATTGTATTTGAATACACACCTACAACTACACATACACACTAACACAAAAACACAGACGAGCGTACAAGCACACAGACAGACAGAAAAAAAACACAAAAAAAACAACACACACACACACTCTCTCTCTCACGCACACACAAACACACATATGTAATATTTGTACATAATATTTATCTATACATCAACGTATATATTTATATATACATGCACAAACACACACACACACACGCACAAACCAAACACACACACATATATATTTACATTAACAAACACACACATGTTTGAAAAAAAAGTATATATATATATCTACACATACATATATATATATGAACAAACACACACACATATAATTTAGATATATCTACACATACATACAAACATACATATAAATACACACACACACAAACACTCACACACACACACATATATATACATACATACATACATACATAAATACATATTATATACATACACATATACTTCTATATATATATATGTATAAATATATATATATATATCGATATATACATAGATATATATATCTATACA